CCTAACTTGGAGAAAATGGAAATTTGTGACACTTTTAGGTTGAAAGTAGGAGCAAATTTTATCCTTGCAATTGAACCTACTTTACTATCGTAACTCCTATATATAGTAGAATGAGAGGTTCATCAGAGAGTCAAAATTTCGACTCGGGATACATTTTGAAAAACATGTAAATTTTATTCATTGAGTTTTTTTATCTTAAGCTCTTTTTGTGATATTGATACGTATATTGTATTTCTAGGAAGGCTTTATACGGACGTACACATAGGACCTACAGTTTAACGCAACCGAGATGACGCTGGCAGATGTTTGGCCAGCTTGCTAATCGACTCCTTCGTCGAAGTTTAAACACAGAGTTTAACCAAAAGAGAAAAAACCGAAATAGATGCAACCAACAGACGCTGATATCGTCTATTTTGTGCGCGAAATATAACGCAAGAGAGCGTTTTTATCTTATATTTATATTTTACAAAAATTTATAAGAAAAAGTATTAGAACAAGGAAAATAATACTATTCATAAGTTATATATTCGTCAGCAAATAATTAACAATTACAAGTTTAAAGAATGATTCTCTTCACATTTAGTATAAATTACAATAAAACATTATATTATATTTATAATATAAATAAAGTAAACAAATCAGAGTCATTGACAGCTCACGTGTTAACATGTGTCCATCTCGTTACACGACGACTTTAATAACAGCATATTACTAAAGATTTTGATAAAGATCTAAACCGTTGGTCGAAACGTTATCACATTGTACATACACATTACATCTTGAAATAAAAATCATCTTCACGTGTTTGCACAACAACATCCGTGTCTTGCTTCAACTGCCTCTCATCTGGTTTTTTAAAATAAACAAAGTTTTAAAACTGGCAAATAGGTTCATTCGTTCACAATACTTTGTATATTTGACAAATTTCGAATCATCTATGCTGTAAAACAGCAAGAACCTTATTGCATATTGAAATTTCGCGAGTTGCATCTCGCTTGTGTGTGTGTGTGTGTGTTACTAACTTCCTTTTCAAAAATTACGATGCTTTGAGAAACCGTGAAACTATACGATGAAAAGAAGATGAAGTAGAAGCTGAGAGGATAACAGACGCGACGTATAAAACATCGCGTCTAATGCAGTGCATGGTGCAGGAGGACAATGTTGTCGTGCAAGAAAAGGAAGCAGAAGCGAGCAAGTGAGAGAGAGAGAGAGAGAGAGAGAGAGAGAGAGAGAGAAGGGGAAAGATCGAAAAGGGAGATCAAAGAGGGGAAGAACGAAGAGAGAGAGAGAGAGAGAGAGAGGAAGTGTGGAGGTGGGAGAGAAACATGCAGCAGCACGTCCTTGGACTTATATAACGAGGAACCAAGAGCGGACAAGCATGCGGATTAAAAATGAAGAATAAGAGAGATGGTGGCCACATCGAGCTGCAGTCGCCAGAGGAGAAATTTATGAGAACTTTTGTGAAATTCTTTTCTTTTGTGCTTTTTTCCATTTGTATCCTCTTTTTTTTTCTTGTTTTTTTTTTTCCGAAAAATATGTGCAACTCCATTTGTTCTCTCCGTCTTTCTCTAGAAAAAAATATCTCGCATAGTTTTTCTAACAGTATAATTGTTAGATCGGTTAGATTTTGTAATAGCTAGTGAGCGAGCCTTCAATATTTGTACAATACTTCATTCTTCGTTTGAGATAAAAAAACCAAGTCGGATGGAAGCGGACTTACAACCTTAAAAGGAAATCCTTAACTACAATGACTGTCAACTAAGCTTCAACATTGAAAGAGAGAGAGATTATTTGTCTATGAAGTACGTGCTTGCTGGGTACACACAAATAATTCAATCTACAAAATGTTGATTTCATATTGTATATGGTTTCTTAACGATGAATTATCACTAAATGTTTCGATAGTGTAATCGAAAAAGCATTCCGTCTAAAATATGAAATGTTCGACAAGCTGTTGAGTTAATTATCGAATTTAGCGATTAAAACAAAATCAGTTTGTTTTTATGCCAAACAATTTTCTATACTTCCGAATCAATCTTAACGATATAGTTCTGATAAATGGAGCATAAAATGTTGTCCGTTTAATCTTCTGTTTTGAAATGTTAATCAAATATTTGGAATTGTACAATTGAAAACTTTTTTTATTTTAAAGAATTTTGAAATTTTTGAAATTTTAGTAACTTGATTCCACAGTTTTACTCGAAGTTTTGAACAACATCCCAAGAGTTTTGATTATTTTCTTAATCGATTACAAAAAAATGTTCTTGCACACAAACACACACACACACACAC